CGATAAAATCCTTTGAAGTATTTTAACCGCACTATCTTCTGATGTGGTTTTCGAATCATTTTTATATGTATATTATAAAATGTCAAGAAGAGAAAATTTTTTCGATGTATAAAGGGAACTTGCATTTCTCTTCATTTTTTTTATGTGCAGAGCTTCACAAACTATGCCATAGCTTTTTTCCAGAGAGTTGGTTCGTCCAATTAAAGGGTATCAGATTTTGTCCACGGCACGTTCACGAGTAGAAAATGAGCTTTGAAGAACGTCTGTCGGCAACAACGCGAATGCATTCTCTATTTTTCATTTACGGGAGAAGAGTAAAAACTGTCATCCTTGTATACTGCAATTATAAAAATTTTACACAAGATTGACACACGAGTTTTTGTTAAACATACTTCAGGAATATGTATCGTTTATGTATTAAAGTTGTCAACAGTATTTTAACATTTAATACCAAATCCTTTATTCAACTCTTAGTGTACAAAAATATATTATCATCTATATGAATGAATTTTTTCATGTCAGTCGTAACCACAGATTTCCTAAAGAACTTTGTCAAATGATGATGGTAATCATCTTTAGGAAGAGTAAATAAAACAAGATTGTTCTTGACTGTCAATGGAGTCAGACTGTTAAATCAGGAGACTCCTAATATAAAAAGATTTTTGTAATTTACACAATCGAATTAATTCAATTAATTAAAAATGAAGATTGAGAATAAGATGAAGGAGCAATGACCTGGGTTTGCAGCATCTAGCGAACGACCCATCAGACAAAGTAGAAATCCAATACGACTTCCAAGATAATGATAATTGCGTTCAATAATAACCTTTCTAAATTCGACACAATTTGACGAAAGATTTAATACAGTTTTAGCGTTTGGCCAACAATTATGTCGTTCTATTTTTCTCTATCTGTTCCTGCATATCTTTGTTCATCCACAATTATTAAATAACATTTTTAATTAATTTTCAATTTCATTTAAATGCATGAGATTCTTAAATAAAATCTCCACTATCTTTCCCTGGAACTTCATTAAAGTGAGGAAGCTCTATGGTGAACGAGCTATTCGACAGTAATGTGTGGTCTCAGATTCCTGGCGGAATGTTTGCGTCGCGGAGATGGTGACTGCTCTGCGGTTAAACTTGTGGTGGTGGTTCGGACTCGGTCTATATAAATCTCAGGGGTGGCAAAAAAGTTTCAGCAAAGGATAGAGATAGTAGAAGAAGAACAAGAGAGGGATCTGTCATATACATAGATTTCATTTAAAAAATTCGTTTATCTTTCTTTATTTCAGCAGATCACTAAACTATTCCTGAACAATATTCTTATGTCTTGATTTTTAAATTCAATCCTTCGTTGCAATAACTAATTTTCTAGTTAGAACAGAAAAAGTATTTATTCTTCTACATTTTGTAGAAGAATTTATTTTATATTTCTTATCTTTTATAAATATTTATAATTTGTCACGTGTGTTCTTGAAAATTGTGTTAATAATAACATAATTGAGTGCTTCATGTTGTTTTAATCAATTTTTCAATATGCTGTTTTACGATATATATCTTCAGTCAAATATAAACTCGTGTGCACGCTAAGTGCATGATATATAGTGTTAATAATATCTCCCTTTGAGTTTATTTTTTCTTTTTATCGTTTGCTTCTTTCTATGCAGTGTGTTGCTATCTTGCATCCTGCTGCAAGCTCGAGCCGAAGCGAGGGAAGCGTTCAACTTTTAATATGCCTCGTTTCAGCGATTATTCACGCGACATACTGCTGTAGACGTGCTGATATTTCTTATTCAACACAGGCCTTTTGTTTGACAACCAATATGATATAATCACAGTGCACCTTACCCTAACAACATTATGACTATTATTACTTGTAAAACTCATCTAAATGAATGCAAATCAATTTTTAAACAAATGCTTAACAATTTTCAAATTCCACTCATAGTTATAATCGCAATTCTGTTCATAGAAACAAAAACCAATGTTGCTATGATCAGAATTGTTCATGGACCTTTTCGAAATTAATATTTTCTGTCTATCCTTCGAATATAAAAAAAGGGACTAAGGAAAATTTATCATTGATAAAAATAATCCCTCAAAGCTTTCAGAAGGAGGAAATTTTTTCGATTTCTTGGCGTGCTTCTTCTATATTAGTCGTAAACGTACATCATCAGATAATACTATTTTATAAAGGGAGCTACAAGCAAGAACGAATATTTATTACTTTCGGTATTCTGGTGGGAAATCCTCGTACACGCGTGTGGTGATTATATATCGCAAACTTCTATGACACGCGCTTTACAAACATATATCTATACATAAAATATTAATCGAAAAACACCGTATTGGCGTGTAAATAATTAGTTGTCAAGTACTCGGCTTAACCGCAAATTCTACGAAATAAATTTTGAATTCCTATTGGGAAATCTTTCTTTCAAAATTAATTTTCGTTAGCAAGCATTTTGTTATCCTCCTTACTAAAGGATAATAATTTTTAATTAATTCGATTGGGTAAATTACAAAAATCTTTTTAAATTAAGAGTATCCTGTTTAAACAGTACGACTCCGTTGAAGTTTCCATGAGGAACTTAGGATGTTATTGGATTATCCTCCTTATCAAAGGATAATAATTTTTAATTAATTCGATTGGGTAAATTACAAAAACCTTTTTAAATGAAGAGTTGTCCTGATTAAACAGTGTGACTCCGTTGAAGTTCCCTTGAAGAACTTAGAATGTTTCAGCATGACTGTCGCCCCTAATTGACCAACATTTCTTCTGGTGTTCTAATATCAGTCACTGTTTGAATTCCAGGACCAAGTTATTATATTTTCTCTTCAGTGATAATATGAATCTAATGAAATGTATAATGAATAGATAATCTGAAAATTAATAAATTAAAATTGCAAATAGATGGATTTGGAATTTATGAAAATTCTGTGTTCGGTCGGCTTTTCATTAGGTCAATGAAGTGGTCCCTGTAAAACACACTTTCCAGAAGTGAATGTTGAATACTATGAGAAAATGCAGTAAACGTATTCAAATTAGAGCACACCACACGTGCGATCTCCATTTGAGAAAGGTAAATTTGAGAACACACGCTATCTCTATACTGAAAGAGAAAGGAATACGTCTGTAAAGCATGTCACAGAGTGGCAATTCTATTTGGTTTGCCACATGTGTTTGAATATCCAAATGAATCGTAATAATATTTCCTGAATTATTAATTTACCGAAAAGAAAGACTATGGGTACTTAAAATTTATGAAATTTATAAACTTTATAAAATTTATAAACTTTATAAAATTAAAAAAATCCAAATGCTATTTATTAATTGAAATTCGAAATTTGACTTTCATTATATTTTAGCGGAAATGGGAAGACAATTTTTTTTCTTTATACTCTTTAGATCCGCTATTAAGCGGTACAAGTGCAAGGCATCAGTGTCACACCAAGTACTAAGAGGTTCTTTATATATATAGCAAAGCTGTTTTCGTTAATGATGGAAGATTTCAAAACAACCTCCTTTGGTGGTCTGACCTGCCATCTAAAATAACATTTATGATGATTTCCTTTCATGAAAAATATAAGCAGAACACTTTTTTCATAACTCATCGGAATTTTCTTTAAATTTCCAAAATTATACCTTATTTATTTTCTATTAGATTATAATTTATAATTCAAATTCAAAGAAATAAAAATTATAAATATTTGTTGAACTCTAAGAAAACTTTTCCCTAAAAATAGCTAATAAAAAAGTATTTCTAAAAATACTGCAAAGTACAGGAAAAATCAACCAACTAAGACTATCTTTGCAAATTTGATACTTTTCGAAACCGAGACTGCTTTTTCAAGCATAGAATATTTTTCCCATTTGAATAGATTTGAAGTTGAAGAGGTTTGGGAACGAAAATCTCTTCGCGTTGAAAATACTGATATTAAATCCATTCAAATTATTATAAGATACAGGGAAGAGGAAAAAATTTTAAATAATAAATAACAGACGTACCTCTCTCTAATGGATCAATAATCTTTATTATAATAAAATTTCTAATGGAAATAAAAATTCTACAACTAATTCTTCGATAATTATTTCATAATAATTAAGAATGGTAAATGATATAGAACTGACCTGAAGCAATAGCAAAAGATTAATTTCAATTTTTAGGATGTAGTGCCATCTCTTTAAAACTTTGAGAAACTGAGAATCAGATTGAAATCAACGGATAATCCTTTGGTCGGTAACGAAATTTCAAAGTTTAAATAAAAAAGAATAAATAATAAATACAAAAGAGTAAAAAATGAAATATTGTAAAGTTGAGGTAAATTTTGATACTGATACTTTACTATAAAATTTGATTTCATAATTATTTAATGTCTAAGTGATATAATTTTCAGTAAGTGTATACATTACAGTTAAATGAGAGCTCACGCAATATTTCCTCATATAAATTAATTTTGCTTTTGGAAATGATAATTGAAACAAATACCACCTCGAGGAGCTGCCGTGAGATTATTCTCATTACCATTACGAAACTCGAACTCTCGGCGCAAGCTGTAAGCTACACAGGATGTTTCATGATGCGACCCTTATAATCTGAATCGCGTCTACGTCCCCCCCCCCCCACCGAAATGCAAATGTGTTCGTAAACACAATTTTGGTTGCCTTATCCGCTTGAGATACCAAAATAACATCAAACAACATTGATTCAAGTCCACACTTAATTATTTTTTATTTACTTTTGTTCGCAATTACAACCCACCTGAATGTAAGTTTCATTCGTTTATTATATTTATAATTTTTTTCCATCATAATAAGTACAAATCCAATGACCAGCTTTCTATGTGAACTGATCGATGATGATTTTTCTATGTTAGCAATTTTCTTAAAACTTTTTTTCCTTGTAGCAATTAGGGTAAGAAATAAATAAGACGATTTTAAAAATTTCAAATTTGGGTACTAATTTTTATAAATTTAGATAATTCTTCTTGATTTTATTATTTTTGAAAGTTACTTTTTAATTATTTATTTTATAATAATATTTTTACATGGCTTTTCAAATTATTTTTTAATTTTTGAATAGTGAATTCCAGGTTATGATTAGATATGTACAAAAAATACATTTCATAATTTCTTATTCTGTGATTTCTTTTCTATATTTACGTCGCACTGAATGCACCAAAACGCTCCAATTGCTCTGATAATGCCACAATTTTCTCATCTGAACAGTTTTCATCCAACGATAAGGTAAAATAGGCGTACAGAAGATTAGAGACAAAAGCACTTCGAACTTCTGTCAGTGAAGGGGAATTTCTTTCGTTCTCAAGATATCCACTTTTCACAGCATCCAGATATCGAGTGAAAATATCGTCAATGTCACCCATTTCTTTAGACAAATTTTCAAAAATAATACAAGCTAAATCCATACCAATAGAACTGTATTTTATCGTATGCCAACGAATAGCCTTTACATCGACTGCAATTCCATTTTCATATCTGAATAGTAAATTTTGTCCACTGAAATTCCCGTGGCAGAGAATTTTTTGTTCCCTAATAATTGACGATTTTAAATAATCGACAACATCATTATCACCCAATGTATTCAGAATCTTTGCTAAAATTTTCGAATCTACCAGACTTTTTATTCTGAAAAAGAAAAAATTGATCAGAAAAATAGAATTATTTGAAAGAATAAAAATTTATTGTATAATCCAAACCTGGAGAATCCTTTCTCGAAATCTTGATTCGTTTCCATAATTTGTAATGTCGTGAAATTATTTAACGACGTATTCTTCTCTTTCACATACTTTAGAATGCCTTCATGAAAAAGGCCAATTGCACGAGCGCATAAATTTAATTCTTGAAAATTCAATTTTTCAATTTTCAGAAAATTTTGCGTTGATAAATCTTCAAGGACAAGAACAGGTCGACCATATTTACCCATACTGACAGCATAACATTTTGGAATAATTTTCAAATTGTTCACACTTTTACGAATCAAGTGACTATTGTAAAATATTTCCTCATTTAAAAACCAATTGTAAGTCACATCATTCACTGTAACTGCAAGTAATTTAATGAAGAGGGGAAAATTTTTTGGTTCACCGGAAAATTTCACTACAACATCAACTAAATAATGAGATTCATCATTATTCGTTGGTTTTGTATTTGGAATTTTAACGCTGGCCGAGTCGTATTCGACAAATTCTCTTGAACCCACATCACAAAAACATCTTTCGTACACCAATTCTGGTAGAAGGTGATTTTTAATAAAAATTATATCTTCTTCTGTTGAATTCATTCTTATAATTTTCAATAACTTTTGGTTATACTTTATTTATGTTATAAAATTCAAAGAGAAAGAAAGAAAATAATTATATGTTATAAATATACGATTCGAGGAGAATGATAATACTGATACACGCTGCTTGAGAATTGTGAAAGGAAATACTATGTTGTATTCCCCTCCATAAAGATTATAAAAGATCTAGTGAGACATGACATCATTATTATCGAGTTTGCCGTTTATTGACCATTAAAAGTTTGTCGTGCGCCTTTGATGCTATTACATCCAGATAAAAAAAAATGTTTCACTACCATTTCCTCTTCAACCGAATTTGCCCAGATCATTTTTTTTAATAGATACTTTTTTTAATTTCCGTTTGTAATTTTACTGACATAAAAAAATTGAAATTTTAAATTTCGTATTATGTCCTAATTTGTGATATTTTTATGAATCTTTTTAAATGTTGCAATAACCGAAATCCCCTGATTTTTTATTTTCAAAATTTCGTCTGTAAGTAAAATTTGATGCTCTCGCTATGCCTTTTTACATCCGCGAATATCTCTTAAATCCTTCTCCTTTTTATTTAATTTCATTAAAAATATTATTTTTGTACCTTTCATTGATTGTTTCGCAATTATATTTTTTAGTTATTGATGACATTTAATAAATATTTATTCAATAATATTTTGACTCAAAGAAAACGAGTCAGTCATAGACAAACGAAACTATATAGAAGGTCGTTCGTCGACACTTGAAATTGTACCAAAAAAATTTTTGTTTACAATTAAAAAATTTGAAAGTCAACCTTCAAGTAACCTCAAATCTTCATTTAGAACCAAAATTTTAAGTCATTTCTTTTTTTCCTACATCTTTATTAATTTAAAAAAAAATTGGCAAACCGTTCAAAATTAAATATGCAGCCGAGAAAAAATGTGAGAATTGTTTATAATTTATAAAGAAAATTTCCGTTTGTAACAAAAATAAATTAACCGTTTAACTATGTTTACGATTTAATCAAAATGACACAGATTCCAAACTTTTATAACAACGAATTTGCACAAACGAATCAAAATAATTTACAAAATCAGCAAAATCAACAAAAACAGCAAACTGTCCCTCCGCAGTTAATTTCTAATATGAATCCATTTAACGTAAATCAAGCAGGTAGTAAACATTTTAAAAATTCAATAATAAAATTTTCTTTAAAAAAATAATTACGAATTTTCCCTTTTTTGAATTCTGATTATTTAAGGTTCGAGCTATCAGAATAATCCTTTTCAACAATATCAACAAGAATGCTTTGGTGGTCAACAAGTTCCGAGTCAAAATTTAATAACAAATCCTTATCAACAAAATCCGAATACATGTTCCAATGCACAGGGAATGCAAAATCAGAATTATTTTGGATCATTGTCTCAAGGACTTCTCGATCAATTTCGATCCTGCATGAATAGTGCAGCGCCAATTTTTATTTTACCGAATGCTTGCCCAAATCCTGCCCCAACAACGCCTCAATTGCCAAATTCAATTTTAGGACAAAATTTTGGATATCCGATGAATTATCATCATCCATCGATAGGTATATGGAATTTTTTGTAAAATTTTCCGTAATTTGAATAAACCAATCATGGAAAATTGTTGATCGTAAAAAAAACTATTCTTAAAAATTGAATATAAAAATATTACAACTCATTTATTTTGCGATTGTAACTTTTTTATATTTCAACGCATAAAACGAAAATTTTGATTTAAAGTTTAAAAGTTATAACTGACCTTTAAATATTTCCGTCAACTATGAAAAAATATAAGTCAATGAAAAGGAATAGCTCTTTTAAAAGAAAGAGGGAAAAAAATTGGTGGTCAGAAAGTATCAACGTAAAACTAAAAACAAAATATAAAAAAAAAGTATAATGAAAAGTTACGATGTCCTCTAAACATAAAATTCTTCTCTCTTCATTCTTTTATAAAGAATATTTTCTTGTAAAAAGAAACTAAAAAAGGGAAAAATTATTTTTTTGTCATCAAAATAACATATCAAAATCTCTCCAGTATTTTTTATTCAAAAGAATAAATTTAAAAATCTAGTTAAACATTTACTTCCTTCAAATTGATTTTCACTTTAAGTGGTTATATTATAAATTCAAAAGATGTGCGTAGATTAAATTCATTCAAGACCCTCTCTCAGAGGGTGCGAAAAACTTGTAATTCCCGTGAGACAAAATTTTATATGTAATTTATATTCAAAAGTCTCGTAAAAGTTTTCACAGTTTTTGTCGTAATTTTTTTTATAATTCTCTTGACAATAAATAAAAATAAATTTTTCCCAGGTATACCCTACACATCTCCTGTCTGTATTCCTTACGCACTTCCAATTCCCATTTACAACAATCCATCTAATCAAGAACGCAAAAAATGTGAATGTTGTCCAAAAACGGAAATTGTTAATGAAACATTTAAAAATCCAAATATTTTTAACGAATTCGAGGAACATAGATGTAAGGACCCTAAGGATGATACAATTTGTGCCAAGAAACATTGTCCAGCTTCATTGAACCTACAAGCACTTGCGTCACAATTTTTGGCAATTGCAGGAATAATCTCGTGTGCCGCAACAAGATTAATTTTACGAAAAGTTCCCGGATCGAATGTAATTCAAAGTGTTGATGAAACAATCAACAATGCCGTTCTAGCGATAAATCAATTGAACAAAGATAAACTTTTAAGTGAATCGAAGAATGCTCAGCAAATTAATGCTTTGATTAATATTCACATGAATGCGAATCCCCCATCGAATATTATTCCCATTTTAACAATGATTCAGTTGAAAGTTAATTTACTGAAGGCACACGTCGAGCATTTAATAAATAGAAAATTAATGGAGAATCAAGGAATTGGAACCGAAGCAACTGGTAATCTTGATCCTATTGTTCTTGCAATGAAAACTGATTCTGAACTTAGGGAATTTTTGGCTGCTCTTAGAGAGAAAGAATGTCAGGAGAGGGTAAATCTTTGAAGTCCAGACTAATTTTTAATTAATGAATATTAAACTATCTATTCTATTCATTTATTAATATTAAGTGCTAAATATTAATTTTCTTTCTAACAGGTGAATTTTAATTTCGCTCCTTATCATGCTCAACGAGTTTTGGCAGAGAATTATCTGAACAATATCCAGAGAAAAATATCTCAGGTTAGGATATGAAACTTTAGTTCTAACCTAAACAACCTTAACTTAGATTTCCGTTTTTTTGCAAAAAAAAAAACACTTAACCTATACGCTTTTTTATTAACCTTACAAAAATACCCTAACCTATCAAAAATCGCCAATGCCAGGGCTTTTGTTTCCAGTTCCAATTGCCTTTACTGGCTTTATTCCCAGTTCGCTTACTCTTAACCTCAAAATTTTTGACCATGAGTCATTCCATTATATTTCGACTAAAGTCGTTGCTGACTAATTTTAAAAAATTATAATATTTTGCAGGAATGATGTTAAAGATATTAGGATCACCGAACAAAAAGAATTTTTTAAATATTTTTTATATTTATTGTAAAATAAGCATCTAAAGTATATGAAGTCGTAAAAACTGTCACATTTTCATCTATTAGAAAATATTAAAGAAAACACATAATTTACTATAAAAATGTAAAAAAGTTATAAGAATTTATTAAGAAAGAATTGTTTTATTATTATAAATTGATAGAAACAATTATTAATAAGAAATATTAAATAAAAAAGGATTTTTAAGTTCACCTGCCAAATAACCTAATTTTGCAAATTTCATTCACTAAATGTGAGAAAGAGAAATCATTAAATTAAATAATACCTTATGAAATATAAAGTACCTGTGATTAACTTTTAGTTTTTCTTATCACTTTCTTCCTTTTTTCTTCATAAATGTTAAAAAATAAGCAATTAAAACTGGCACTTTGCTTATTTTCACGATTTTAAAATGCAAATAACTTCTGCCCAGAAAAATGAAAAATTACGAAAATTGGGCAATAATTATTTGATCACTAGATACACTCACTGGAAAAAGATTTTCTTTGGTCCCGAAGCTATTTTCCGAATTCATTAACTTTAAACTTTTTACTATTTTTATCAGGTTAATACATGTGTTTTTTAAAGGACGAAGTTAGCTCTTCTTGTTTAATCGTTTTGAACCAACTTCAGTTTTAAAAAAATCACATGTATTAACCTGATAGAAATAGTGAAAAGTTTAAAATTAATTATTTCGGAAAATAGCTTCGGGACCAAAGAAAATCTTTTTCCAGTGAGTGTATTTAGTGATCAAATAATTATTGTCCAATTTTCGTAATTTTTCATTTTTCTGGGCAGAAGTTATTTGCATTTTAAAATCGTGAAAATAAGCAAAGTGCCAGTTTTAATTGCTTATTTTTTAACATTTATGAAGAAAAAAGGAAGAAAGTGATAAGAAAAACTAAAAGTTAATCACAGGTTCTTTATATTTCATAAGGTTTTATTCAATTTAATGATTTCTCTTTCTCACATTTAGTGAATGAAATTTGCAAAATTAGGTTATTTGGCAGGTGAACTTTAAAATCCTTTTTTATTTAATATTTCTTATTAATAATTGTTTCTATCAATTTATAATAATAAAACAATTCATTCTTAATAAATTCTTATAACTTTTTTACATTTTTATAGTAAATTATGTGTTTTCTTTAATATTTTCTAATAGATGAAAATGTGACAGTTTTTACGACTTCATATACTTTAGATGCTTATTTTACAATAAATATAAAAAATATTTAAAAAATTCTTTTTGTTCGGTGATCCTAATATCTTTAACATCATTCCTGCAAAATATTATAATTTTTTAAAATTAGTCAGCAACGACTTTAGTCGAAATATAATGGAATGACTCCCATCCAAACTACTTTTATTCACTCGTATACGTTCATCATTTCACCAATATTCCTTCTTTCATTCCATGCTTTCTCTCTCAACAGCCATATAATTCTTCTTTTTCTCCACGTTCTATCCTCGGCAGTTCTTTTCTCTCTTTCCATGACATCCACTCGCCTCGATAATTCTATTTTCACCTGCATAGACACATTCTCATTTCCTTTAACCTTCTCTTTATTCTCCATTAAACGTTCTTTTAATTCATACATTTTCCTCCACAAATCTTCCTTTTCTTTTATCCACTCCATCTCCCACTTTATCCACATTCTCTGCATACTCTCCAAGCTCTCACTAATTTTCTCTTTTTTTGTTGCGCGTCTTGTGAAAAACCAACGCAAAACAGATGTTTTAACCAGGGTTGGGAAGGTGAATGTTGTTAGTTCGGAACTTATCGTCACGAACTACAGCATTTTGATAGATTCGTCACGACTTTTTAAAACACTTGCCTAACAAGTAAACTAACCTAAAAAATTCCACCAGTTAGAAAAGAACAAAGAAATGCCCATCCTTCTCCAACTAATGAAATTTTTAATCAGTCCACTTGCCACCAGGAGCCTCCAGATGAGGCTTTTAATTCGACACTTTAATTCTGTCAAACAGGTGGAAGACGAAATGAATAGAAGACGTAACAACTCGATTCCAAGAACGTCAATCGTCAATCGGTTGCAGTGTGAGTTTACAAATCCTTGTTGTTATTACAATAGTTCAACATTGAGCGCCTCCCAAAGGTATGGCACTTTCGAAACTTCTCCAACGCAAACACACGATTCTCCCGATCCCTTCATAATTCAAGTACGCAATCCCAAGAGACTTAATTTGAAACCTCACGTCGGAAGTCCCGAGACGACCTATCAACAAACCAATGACACCGAAAATAAAAATTGCTGCGATAAAAATTCAATATTAGAAACTGACGAGGTGACAAAACCTGATGAGACAACTTTGACCACTAGTGTTGATAAAAATAATGAAACAGATTGTGACGAATTGAAAAAATCTCAAAATCGAATAGAGAATTCTGATGACAGTATTCCTTCAAAAGAGTCGAAGGAGGATCAGGAAAAAGGCGAAATAGAAACAAAAACAGAAAAGGAAAATGGCGAACAAAACGTGAATTCAGTGGCAGGAAAAGAAAGTCAAGTCGAAGAGAAAAATTGTCAAGATGGTACAACAGTCAGCGAAGAGTTTCAAAATAAAAAGATAGATGGCGATACTGAAGATGAACAGGAGGATGATATGACTGACATTGAAGAAAGAAAATAAATTTTCTCTTTAGTTATAATATTTATTCACAAATAATAATAATTCTCGAAAAAAATGTAACATATATTCTCAAATGATACAAATTTTTTATTCAAAAGAAATAAAATTACTAATTTCACTTTCTATCTGTCTTTGGTGGCGTCGATGCTTCTTTCTCCTTTGATAACGTTTCCTCTTGTACTTCTTTAAGAGCCTTCAAAATCTCATCAAATCCCTTTTCTAATTCTTCAAAGAATTCCTCTGTTAAAACAATTATTATTTTCAATTATTTTCTGTTTAGGGTAAAATATTATGTTTCATTCACATAAATAAAAAAACAGTACGTACTAATTTCTGCAAGATCACTTAAAGAAATGTCTTCATCAGCGTCATCGTCCTCGTCAGCTTTCTTTGGTTCTGCTGCAACTTCTGCTGCAACTTCTGAAAAAAATATTAATCAAAAAACAATTTTTATTGAATTCTTTATAGAATTATAGAAAATCAACGAACAAATCAACGACTTAATATTAATAATAAAGTTGAATGAAACATTTTATACGAGAGAGAAAATAGGTTAATTTTCTATTGTGGACTCAACCTAATATATTTCGCGGAAACCAGGGTTGGGTAACTAAAATACTAAAATTCGCCAAGAACCTCACTTTTTTTAACATTTTATAAAAGGAATAATTAAAATTAATTACTTTCAATAGTATCTCAACTATTTCAATTGTTTAATTTGCCTTTTAGACTCTCTGATAATTTATACATTTTAAAACGGAAAATTTAGTAGCAAAATCGACAAACCTGCAGGTTTCGCTTCCTCTCCATCAGGGACAGGTAGTGACTTAACATTTTCTGTAAAAAAAATTAAACTGTTAATAACTTAAAATTATCTAGAATATAATTCTAGATCCGGAAAGACTCCTGGTGGAAGGTGGACAAACTAAAAAACTCCATTGGTTAGAAAAAGACAGAGAAATTTTTGTCCTTTTCTTACTAATGGAAGTTTTTAGTTAGTCCACTTGCCACCAGGACACTCACCGGATCTAAATGAATTATCTTAGCAATTATTTATAAAAAAAACACTCTCCATTTTAATTTAATTAAAAAACAGTGCAAATGAAGCAAATTTTTAAAATATTCTTAATTAGATTAAATAAAGTATTTTAAAAAAATCTGTTCGGAAGACCAAAATTAATTAAATATAATAATAATAAAATATAAATAATATAATAAATAAAATTAAATAAATTACATAGGTAATTATAATAAAGAAAATAAAATTAAAAAATAATGTTAAATTAATAAACGGTAGTAAATAGTAAAAAAAAAATTTACTTTAGAAATAGTTCAAAAATAAAAATTTTTCTTAATTTTTAATGAACATACCGGTGCAGACGAAAAGTACAAGACCAAAAAGTAGGAAGACTTTGAAGTTCATGTTTTTTGTGAATTTATTTATTCTTTGCAGACTTAACAAGAGAGACTGATAGTTTTTACTCTCGAGTCTCTCCAGTTATATACTAAATTATTGTAATCGTGTAATCAGCTGAATCATTAATGACCATGAGAAATTTATTGCCTTATGCACATTAATGACAGGTTTACAAGATCTATCAATTATTTGCATTTGCATTGAAACAAAAGTAATTAGGAAATTTTGTTAGAAATTTAATTTAAATATTTAAACTTAATTTTTTTTTATAATGTCTGTTTATAAATTTACACATTTTCAAAATATAAAATAATTAACATTATGAATAAAAAACTATTAATTCTACGAATTGTTGAATTCCGAGAAAATTTCATAATATATTTTTATTTTAAAAAAAATTATTGAGGATAATGAGATATAAACTTCTTTTATAATTGCAAAATATCAATCTTTTGTTGCTTGATTTAGATGTATGTAAATTACTGAATTAGTATTCACACTTGGCGATAATCATTTTGATACTGATAATATATGAAATATTAAATTGAAAAGATTTTTTGACGTTTTGACGAGAAGTTTAATTTATATACTTTTATGTAATCATTGTTATTGTTTTCTCACGATGGGTTATGTGATCGAAAATTAATTTTCATATTATTTTAAATCCTTTGTCCCTACGCTTAACGCGACAAAAACTTATAGGTTATATCGTGGAAATGTTTAGGTTTTTAAAATAAAGATTCATTTTTAATTGAGTTAAAAACAATTTCTGTTAATTATTTACAGTGGAAAATAGTTGAAAAAATTGCTTTTCACAGCAGATTATTAAAAACGAATCTTAAATGAAGCAAAAACTTTCTTAAACATAACCTATAATTTTTTGCCTAACGTCCAGTGTGATATAAAAAGAAAACGTAGGATTTAAAAAAAGGAAAGATAAAAATAGTTGAAGAAAGGTAAAAAAGAAGAAAAAAGATAAAAATTCATATACTATTGAAAACTTATTCTTAGACGTCCTAGAAAAGCGTATAAAATAAAAGTTTCATGTAGTTTTGCGGAAATTATGAAATATCGCCGTCAATTACTTTATTAAAAAACCAACTCTTTGAATTCTTTCGAATAATACATCATTCTTTTAAAAGTGAAAGCTAAACCTGTTTAAACAAAGTGACCGAATAATCATCAAACGGATAAGAATGTTTGTTATTGTAAACACTGCACCTGTAAGGCGGCAACCCGTCGAGCTTAGAAGTGTGTTTTAAAGATCACAAGCATCCTAAAGGTTTGTCAATAGGATTTAATGTTTTTTTTAATGTTTTGCTTCCTCATGAGGAAGCTTTGCATAATTGACGATTTTCAATTTTTCAAAAGAAGGTTATATGGACTCATTTTCATCTAGAACATATGTATATTCAATTATGAGCAAATGTCCAGATGTATGTGTGTGTGTGTGTGTCACAAAAATTGTGAACAAATTATCTCAGACAAATTTTGATGGACTGTAATAAAATTTTGCAGGTTTATTGCAGTCATTATTACCTAAAATTTAACAAATAGATTTTCGAAAATATATACAAAATCATTTTTTATCCAATTTTTTTAAAATTCAGAAAAAAATTTTTTTTGTATTTTTTGAAATAATTTTTTTATTTGTTAATATTTTCATTAATTATTCTCAAAATTACATTCCTAGTGTGATAACTTTTTTGATTTTTGTTCTACAGGAAAGTGTCTAAAGGAAAAGTTGTTTGTTTTTGCCCAAAATTTAAGGACAAAAAGAGAAAAACATTTTTTATTGAACTTTTGGAAAGATACCAAAGTTTAAAAATTTCATGGACAAGAAATAACACTTTTTTGTCCATTTTATGGGAAAAGTGTGATAACTTTTTTGATTTTTGTTCTACAGAAAAGTGTCTAAAGGAAAAGTTGTTTGTATTTGCCCAAAATTCAAGGACAAAAAGAGAAAAATATATTTTATTAAAATTTAGAAAAGATACCAATGTTTAAAAATTTCATGGACAAGAAATCACACTTCTTGTCCATTTTATGGGAAAGGTGTGATAACTTTTTTGATTTTTGTTCTACAGGAAAGTGTCTAAAGGAAAAGTTGTTTATTTTTGCCCAAAATTTAAGGTCAAAAAGAGAAAAACATTTTTTATTAAAATTTAGAAAAGATACCAAAGTTTAAAAATTGCATGGACAAGAAATCACACTTTTTTGTCCTTTTTTGGAACTAGTGTGATAACTATTTTGATTTTTGTTCTACAGAAAAGTGTCTAAAGGAAAAGTTGTTTGTATTTGCCCAAAATTCAAGGACAAAAAGAGAAAAATATATTTTATTAAAATTTAGAAAAGATACCAATGTTTAAAAATTTAATGGACAAGAAATCACACTTTTTTGCCCCTTTTGGAACTAGTGTGATAACTTTTTTGATTTTTGTTCTACAGAAAAGTGTCTAAAGGAAAAGTTGTTTATTTTTGCCCAAAATTTAAGGACAAAAAGAGAAAAACATTTTTTATTAAAATTTAGAAAAGATACCAATGTTTAAAAATTTCATGGACAAGAAATAACACTTTTTGTCCATTTTATGGGAAAGGTGTGATAACTTTTTTGATTTTTGTTCTACAGGAAAGTGTCTAAAGGAAAAGTTGTTTGTTTTTGCCCAAAATTTAAGGACAAAAAGAGAAAAACATTTTTTATTGAAATTTAGAAAAGATACCAAAGTTTAAACATTTCATGGACAAGAAATAACACTTTTTGTCCATTTTATGGGAAAGGTGTGATAACTTTTTTGATTTTTGTTCAACAGGAAAGTGTCTAAAGGAAAAGTTGTTTGTTTTTGCCCAAAATTTAAGGACAAAAAGAGAAAAATATATTTTATTGAAATTTAGAAAAGATACCAAAGTTTAAAAATTTCATGGACAAGAAATCACACTTTTTTGTCCTTTTTTGGAACTAGAGTAATAACTTTTTTGATTTTTGTTCTACATTAAAGTGTCTAAAGGAAAAGTTGTTTGTTTTTGCCCAAAATTTAAGGACAAAAAGAGAAAAATATATTTTATTGAAATTTAGAAAAGATACCAAAGTTTAAAAATTTCATGGACAAGAAATCACACTTTTTTGTCCTTTTTTGGAACTAGAGTAATAACTTTTTTGATTTTTGTTCTACATTAAAGTGTTTAAAGGAAAAGTTGTTTGCTTTTGCCCAAAATTTAAGGACAAAAAGAGAAAAACATTTTTTATTGAACTTTTGGAAAGATACCAAAGTTTAAAAATTTCATGGACAAGAAATAACACTTTTTTGTCCATTTTATGGGAAATGTGTGATAACTTTTTTGATTTTTGTTCTACAGAAAAGTGTCAAAGGGGAAAGTTGTTTGTATTTGCACAAAATTTAAGGACAAAAAGAGAAAAACAGGTTTTATTGAAATTTAGAAAAGATACTAAAGTTTAAAAATTTCATGGACAAGAAATCACACTTTTTTGTCCTTTTTATGGGAAATGTGTGATAACTTTTTTGATTTTTGTTCTACAGGAAAGTGTCTAAAGGAAAAGTTGTTTGTTTTTGCCCAAAATTTAAGGACAAAAAGAGAAAAACATATTTTATTAAAATTTAGAAAGGATACCAAAGTTTAAATATTTCATGGACAAGAAATAACACTTTTTTGTCCATTTTATGGGAAAAGTGTGATAACTTTTTGGATTTTTGTTGTGCAGAAAAATGTCAAAGGGAGAAGTTGTTTGTATTTGCCTAAAATTTAATGACAAATAGAGAAAAACATTTTTTATTGAAATTTAGTAAAGATACCAAAGTTTAAAAATTTCATGGACAAGAAATCACACTTTTTTTCCTTTTTTGGAACTAGTGTGTTAACTTTTTTGATTTTCGTTCTACAGAAAAGTGTCTAAAGGAAAAGTTGTTTGTATTTGCCCAAAATTCAAGGACAAAAAGAGAAAAATATATTTTTTTAAAATTTAGAAAAGATACCAATGTTTAAAAATTTCATGGACAAGAAATCACACTTTTTTGTCCATTTTATGGGAAAGGTGTGATAACTTTTTTGATTTTTGTTCTACAGGAAAGTGTCTAAAGGAAAAGTTGTTTGTTTTTGCCCAAAATTTAAGGACAAAAAGAGAAAAATATATTTTATTAAAATTTAGAAAAGATACCAATGTTTAAAAATTTCATGGACAAGAAATCACACTTTTTTGTCCATTTTATGGGAAAGGTGTGATTACTTTTTTGATTTTTGTTCTACAGAAAAGTGTCTAAAGGAAAAGTTGTTTGTATTTGCCCAAAATTTAAGGACAGAAAGAGAAAAATATATTTTATTAAAATTTAGAAAAGATACCAATGTTTAAAAATTTCATGGACAAGAAATAACACTTCTTGTCCATTTTATGGGAAAGGTGTGATAACTTTTTTGATTTTTGTTCTACAGGAAAGTGTCTAAAGGAAAAGTTGTTTGTTTTTGCCCAAAATTCAAGGACAAAAAGAGAAAAATATATTTTATTAAAATTTAGAAAAGATACCAATGTTTAAAAATTTCATGGACAAGAAATAACACTTTTTGTCCATTTTATGGGAAAGGTGTGATAACTTTTTTGATTTTTGTTCTACAGGAAAGTGTCTAAAGGAAAAGTTGTTTATTTTTGCCCAAAATTTAAGGACAAAAAGAGAAAAACATTTTTTATTGAAATTTAGAAAAGATACCAATGTTTAAAAATTTCATGGACAAGAAATCACACTTTTTTGTCCATTTTATGGGAAAGGTGTGATAACTTTTTTGATTTTTGTTCTACAGAAAAGTGTCTAAAGGAAAAGTTGTTTGCATTTGCCCAAAATTCAAGGACAAAAAGAGAAAAACAATTTTTATTGAAATTTAGAAAAGATACCAATGTTTAAAAATTTCATGGACAAGAAATCACACTTTTTTGTCCATTTTATGGGAAAGGTGTGATTACTTCTTTGATTTTTGTTCTACACAAAAATGTCTAAAGGAAAAGTTGTTTGTTTTTGCCCAAAATTTAAGGACAAAAAGAGAAAAATATATTTTATTGAAATTTAGAAAAGATACCAAAGTTTAAAAATTTCATGGAC